AAATCCCAGTGGAGGATGAAACCCCTCATGTGCTCCTCGTGCTGTGTCACACAAAAACTCAACAGCTCCAGAATTAAGACCAGTTGTGCTGTTTGATAATCATCTACAGGAAAAGTAATGCCTTCAATGAGCAACAAAGAAAAAGAAAAAAAGAAATGTCCTGTGCCATCCACCCAGCTCAAGTGCTCCTGCACTTCCTGACGTGGTTTTAGAGGACTTTGGCTTTCCTGGGTTGCTTTAGGAGGCAGAACTTTGGGGGAGAACAAAACAGCCAACACAATGGTGACTTTTTGGCACCTGAAGCAAATCTTGGAAAGGATACAAGTCCAACTCCTGAACAACCGTTCTCCAGGAGGTCCATTTGCTACAAAGCACAGCCTGAAGCCATGTCAGGGAGAGGCAAGAAGGGGTGAAAAGTGCTACTGCAGAACCCCTGTCCCTGGGGAGCAGCCATTTTTCTCAGGTGCATTCCCAGCTGATTGCTGGGAGCACCCCTGTCAGTCCCTTCCAGACACTAGAAGCCTCCAAAGGGGAAAAGAAGGAAAAATCCTCATGTGCTATTTCCCAGGTACCTGTTGCTGCATTGGCCAGAAGCAGCACAGTCAGGACAGAAAGACAGCGGGTGTAGAAGGAATTAAAAAATCCAAGTATTTTGGATACCTAAGGGAGAAAATGGCTTCATTAAATCCTGCCCTTGGCAGAGACCTTTCCAATCAGAAAGCACAGTATGAACAGAAACAGCCTACAAAGAATTCCCTTGGCTCCAACAGCTCTGCCTGTGTCTTTCTGGTGGGGCCTGAAGCATTCAGGTGTCCCCTGCACAAAGTGCCATTTCTTTCTTTGGGAGGAAATATGAGAGACATCCAGGCTACCCTGCTATCCCCAAGAGAATCCCCACCAGGGATACTAATCTCTCATGGCAATCTATCCATAACTCCCAAGGCTTGGCAAAGTGTCCTTCAAGTTCTCTCCAATGCATCATTGCATCATGACAACCTGCCAGCCTTTTCCCAGGTTCTCCTGTCCATTCCAGGGTATGAACCTGTGGATTGGGGGTGCCAGGGCCTCTCCTGGGCTGTGCTGTGGGACCTCTGGCCAGACAGGGCTGTGTCCATGAAGCACTGCCTGGCGAACAACTGTGGGCACAGTGCCCCAGGCACAGCCCTGGCCTCAGCCAAAGGCTCTGGAAACTTCTGCCTTGGAGCTTCTTGCCATTTAGGCTCAGAGCACGCAGTACAGCCAAGCACTGAGCCCAAGCCCAACCTGTTTGGATGCTGTTTCCACAAGAAGAGCACTTGGGAAGATCAGGGTTTTCCTGGGCTGAGACAGTCCCAAGTCTTCAGCCCTTTGCATTCCCTTACCTCAGCTGTGGCCAGGAGATTCCCTGGATCAAGCAGAGTCTGCAGCAGCTCCATGACCTGATCAGCTCCTCCAAATGCAGCAGCATGATGGCATTACATCATGGCATGAGTGCATGGATGAGGTTGATACCCTGCAAAAATCCCAGACAAAGTAAGCCCTAAATAATTAGAGTGCAATGCGTTTCCTGGTTTCTATCAGTTTGGTTCATTTCTTTTAATAAAAATGAAAATTAAATAGAAGAATTGAGATTTTGTTTGGCTGGTTTGTTTCCCATTTGCCTTAGGCTGTTCTATCCAAGCACCTCCAAACCACTTTTACTTACGTGGTGCCTCTGCTGGGCCTCTTGCATGACAACTTCTTGGACCGGGAATGGACAAAAGTTGACAAGACAAGATATCTGTGGCAGCAGATGCCACTTGCAGATCATCCATTCCCTAAGAAAAAAAAGAGATTAATTTGGTAGGGTAAATCAGGTTTGCTGTTTCTCATCAGGTTAAGCTGCAAAGAAAAGGGAGTGAAAGCTTTTGGGAAAGTTTCATTCCCAAGTTTCTCTGAGAAACACAGTAATGTGGTTGCAGAGAAGCAACAATAAACCAGCAGCCTCTTTTGCCCACTTGTGGGCTCCTCTTGAAGGGATACAAGGCTTTCTGTGAATCTGTGAGTTCTCTTTTAAGCAGGAACCATTGCCATTGTGCCACTTTCTGGCTGGAATAGCTGAGACACTGTTCTTCTGTACCTGTTAACCACAACTGATTCATTTTATACCAAAGGACTGATTGTACAAATCAATCTGTCTCTTTCTTCTCCTTACTTCTCCTCATCCAAATGGATTGTAAGCCAGACTAAACAACTCCAGTCCCTGCCTTGTTGTGTGAGGGTTAAAGCTGGTTAAGCTTAAGTTTGCCAAGGTCAAGTCTGTGATGGGCCTTCCTTTGCCTGGATGTTGTTTAAAAACTTGTCAAGTGCCTCATTCTGCCTTCATGTCCTCAAGCTTGTGAGTCAAAGTTTGTTCTTGAACTTGCTGGGAATGTTAGTGTTCCTCCCACAGAGGGCTGTGAGGGGCTCAAACAACCTTCCCCTAAAGCTGAGTTGAGCAGGGCTGAACAAATGATTTGCTGGCAGTGCTGTGCCTTGCTCAGTTCCCAGGCTGTTCCTGCAGCAGAGAAAGCCCCTGGAGTTTGTGAGGAGCAGCAGCCTGGATTGCAAATTCTGGGCCTGGATTGCAATGCTCTGGTGGTAACAGCTGCCCCAGCCAAAGGAGGGACAAAATTCTGGTTTCCCATTGCTGCTCACGACAGAGAAATCTGCTGCTGCCAGCAGGACAGGATCTTCTGGGGAGGAATGAGCCAACAGCCCCAGAGGAGCTAAAAAGACTCTGTGGCCCTGATCCAACCAAAAGCACAGCAGTCCTGGGAAAACATCACCAATGCAGCTGCCCCGTGGCAAAGAGTCTCCTTCCATCTTAACTCTGCCTTGTCCTAAGGACTGCACTGGGCACAGAACTTGCCCCTGGTGCTGTCGCAAGGATCAGGGCAGTCCAGGTAGGCACCTGCAAGAGCTGTAGGAACTTTGGCATTGGAGTGGTCCAATCCACTTCCACTCTCAGCAGAGCCACTGTGTGCCAGCAGAGGGACACACAAGTGCTCAGCAGGTCCAACAAGTGTGCCAGTGGCTCTGGCCTTTCCTGCTTTCAGGAAGAGCAGCTGGAACTTTTCACTTACCAGTAGAATTTCAAGAGCAGGAAGAAGTCCCAGCTTGGCCAAGCTTCGTAAAAATGCCTCTCCCTTCTGGTGAAACATGAGGGAACAGGCACAGAAGTTCTTCAGAAAATTCACCAGTTGCATAGGAAAAAGAATTTCTGGTGTCTTGGAGTAAGAATTTCCTGAAAGGAGGAAAGGGTTACAATTTCTAGCAGAATTGGTGTCCTGGTTGGCCCTTCCTAGAGAGAGGTCTTCTTCTCATGGTGTCTCCTCCAAGCTTTGCCAACACCAACAAAGCAAAGCCATGGAAAGGAAACACACAGAGAAAGAAGAAATCTGTCACTTGGCCTTGACCTCAGAAAGACAGGGATACAGAAATAAAGTTCTCTGGGATGCTGAAACATTCTGGGAAGAAAGCAGAGCTTGAATTCAAGCCTGTTGGCTCCATGATGGTCCTTTCTACACAAGGAAATCCTGCTTTACAACAAAGACATCAGAGCTTATATTGCCAGAAATATTTCTTTAAGTGAAGACTTGAATGAAGATTGAGCTGCACTGGCAAGGATTCCTGGGTTCCAGAAAGACCTCAAGGACTGCAGAAAGCCTCAAGAGCAATTTCCCTTTCTCTGCTTCCTCCCTCTCCTTTCAAGCCTGTGAGAACTGACACCAGTTCCCATTGCTGGTGGGCACCTGGACTTCCATCTGCTAACTGGGCCACAACTTCTGACCAGAATTTCTGGTCCTTCTGTGGAACACAAAAAAGGAACACAACTAGCATGAGCCCTCTGGAAAGGCAAAACTTCCATCCTGAGAGGATCCCCCGCTTCCTCAAGCCCAGCTCTCCACCCCTCCATTCACTGTAGTCCAACAAAGGCCAGTGCAGAGCACACAGATCCCACAGGATCCTTCCTTCCCAGGGCATTGTTTCAGCAGTGCCTGTGTGTAGCAGCAGCAGGGGCAGAAGGCCAGAGCCACAGGGGAAGCTGAGCTCAGGGGAGGCTCCCAAAAGTGCAGCTCCCAAGAGCCAGCTGAGACACAGTTTGTCCCATGCAGCACCTGCCCCACTCCCCCTGCCCTGAGAACATCCCACAGGGATCCCTTTCCCTCTTGTGCAGCTGCAACCCTGCAAAGCATCTTTCAGGCCCCCCAGGCAAGGGGGAGCAAATGAACAGGCTGCAGCCACGGCCTGGTTGCCCTTCCTCACACTCAAACCAGCTCCCCTTGCAGATGCTCTGCTCTGCACTTCTGCCCCAGCCTTGGCTTGGTACAGCCACAGCCTCTCCCAAGAAACACTTCAGGACATCTAGGACAAGAGCTCCCTTCTGGGCAAGGATTTCAGTTCACTCATTGCTTAAGCCTCCAGAGGGACAAGAAAGCCAGGTTAACATCATCATCATCATCATCATCATCATCATCATCATCATCATCATCATCCTCTCTCAAGGCTTTGGATGCTTTCTGCCCTCTCTGTCCCTGCATTTCTCGCCACTCCTTCCCATGGGAAGCAGCGCCGGCAGCATTTCCCTGAGCCTGCTCTTTGGCATCTCATTTCAGAATGAGTTCCACAGACATTGCACCTGGCCCTGAGAGGGAATCCCAAAAGCTGCTTGTTTCCCAGCTTCCCCCAAAACCAGCTCCAAAGCAGGCTGTTGCTTGGCCAGCAAAGAGAAGAACTTGAGACTCTTGACAGCCCATTCAGGAATCTTTAGATCCTTCCCTGAGCTCTTCCCTAACTAAACTACAGAATCCAAGGCAGGAGAAAGAAGGGGGATCATTCCCATCCTGTGCTCATGCAAGCATGTCTGAGGAGCAGTGGTCCCTGGGCAACCCCAGCTCCAGGTCTCAAGCCATTGGGAGCAGCTCAGAAGGCACTAACCTCCAAGATATGGAAGATCTCCTCATTCTTCAGAAGGCACTTCCCTCCAATGGAAGATCTCCTCATTCCTGCAGCTGATGAAGGAGGTGAGGCTGGGCAGAGAACCCTCTCCCAGCCCAGCTTGCCTTGGCCAAGATGACAGCCTGAATATCCTGTGCCCAGAACACCTGGTGGAATTTTTGCTGGAGCTCAGGGTCTCGGATGGGAAGAAGCTCCTTCAGCTGGGTTGTTTGCTGCAGGAGCTGCTGGTGCCATTTGGGCTGTGCCAGAGAGGGGCCATAGTCGAGGGATCTGACCACATCCATGATACACTCCTGGGACAGCATCACCTCCAGCAGAGCTGCTTGGTTGAGACACAGAATTCCTTGTATAATGGCTGACAAATGCTGCAAGCCCCGTCTGAGCTGTAACCCCTTGCAGATCTGGAAAAGCTGTAAGAGTTTGGAAATGAGGCTTTCCTTCTTCAAGGCCAGCACCAGCCTTTCCCTGCAGCTGGCTGAGGAGAGAGCAGAGGTGATCAGCTCAGCAATCTCTGCCAGTCTGTGGGTCTTGCAGGGAGGAAGGCTGATCCCAGGGCCAGTTGCAGCCATTTCCTCCTGCTGTTCCTCTGGTGGCTGCAGAAGATCTGGGGTGAACTTCCAGTGCAGGTCATGGCTGCCAAAAGGCAGCAGGAGGGAAGCGACAGGGGAGCACAGGACAGAGGAAAGGCCACGCTGTGCTTTCCCCCTGCTGGCTCTGCCCCTGGAGCTGCCTCAGCTCCTCTGGCTCTGCAGCAGGAGGCTTCCATTGCTCTGCTCCTTGACAACCTGGCCCAGGCTGCCAGAGCTCCTGCACTCTGCTGTGTCCCCATAACCAACTGGTGGGACTTGAGGAGAGAACCTGCAGAACTGAGGGGACACATCCCAGCAGCCCAGTACCCACCAGGAGAAGGCCACCAGGAGGCTGCAGAGGGACTTTTCCCCACAGCCTTCAGGGACAGGACAGGGGGAATTGCCTGAAGCTGTGGGAGGGCAGGTTTCAGCGAGGTCTTGGGAAGAAATTCTTGCCTTGAAGTGTGGCTGGGCACTGGGCCAGGTTGCCCAGAGAGGTTGTGGACTCACAGGCCTGGAGGTGTGCAGTGGGTTGGCCCTGGTGGGACAACAGGTACCCACCAGAACAGCCCTGTCCCTGCCCTCTGCACCTGGACAGGGCAAAGAAAATGGAGCCAAGGGTCCCTGGGTTGAGATAAGGACAGGGAGACATCCCTCCCCCTTCAGCTTCATGGGCAAAACTGCCTCAGTTTTTGGGTATTGACTGAATTGACTACTCCCAGCATCAGGGCAGGATCATGAGAAACCGAACAAATCTCACAGTCACTTTTCCTCCAGCCCTCCCTCCTTCCCAATGTCTCCCTCATCCCCCCTCCAGTAGTACAGGGAGATGGGAATTTGGGTTCTGATCGGTTCATCCCACATTGTTGCTGCTGCTGCTCAGGAGAGAAGTTGGAGTCCTTGCCCTGCTCCAGCACAGGGTGTTACAGGGCTTCCAAGGGTTGCAGAGTGAAGAGAGAGATGAGAATCTTGACTCTATGATCAGAAGGCTGGATTTATTATTTTATGATATATATTACATTATGACTATGCTAATAGGAATAGAGAGGAAAGTTCAGAAGCTTACTAAGCTAAGAACACAAAAGGAGTGAATAAACAAAAGAGCTCTGTCTCATTCTGTCCCAGAGAGAGCTCGGTCTTTGATTGGCCCTTAATTGTAAACATCCAACATGGGCCAATCACAGGTGTACCTGTTGCATTTCACAGCAGCAGATAATCATTGTTTACATTCTCCTTCTGGGGCCTCAGCTTCCCGAAAGAGGGAAAAAATCCTAAAGAAAGGATTTTTCACAAAAGATGTCTGTGACAACGGGGTCCCTGTCACAGGGATTGTTCTCCAGGAACTTCTCCTACTGGAGTCCATCCCATGGGAACCAGCTCTCCACAGCCTGCTGCCAGGTGGGTCACTCTGCCTCAGGGTCAGTCCTTCAGGCCTGACCAGCCTGGGTCCCCCACAGGCTCCCAAGGCCTTGCAGCAAACCTGCTCCAGCAAACAGGGCTCCTCCCTGCATGGCTCTGTGGTGCCCTGCCAGGACCTTGCTCAGCAGGAGCTTCCCAGGAGCTCAAAGCCTCTCTCAGGCACCCCCTGCTCCAGCCTGCAGGGTCCTGCTGGGGCTGCACCCCGTGCCCTCCATGGGCTGCAGGGCACAGCTGCCTCTGCATGGCCACGCCATGGGCAGCAGGGAAATCTGCACCTGGAGGAGTTTGTCCCAAATTTTGGCTCAGCTGCTTTCTCTGGAAAACTCCGTGCTAAATCCCATCAGTCAGGGATTCACAAGGCAGGGCTTGGCCCTAAGTAAGCCCCTGCCCATAGAGGGCCACTGCCTGTGCACCAGTACCCCCAAGTCCTTCCCTCAGGGAACACCACCCCGTTTGTTCGAGGTCTAAACAGTATTTGTGATGCCTTGATTGGTTTTGGTCACTGCTTTGGGCACCTCTGGCCCCATCTCACTGCCCCAGGACACTCCTTGGCTGGACCTTCAAGTGTGAGCATTCCTGAGTGTTAAAAATGACCAGATAATATTGGCTTTCACATTTATGTATTAGCTTTTGCATGTTGTTATTGATCATAAGTATTTAGATATGGTACCAATTATAACTTTTCTTAGCTGCTTGTTAATACAATATAATCCATCAGTTTATGTAATGTATTGCTCATAGAAACAGTAGTGTAATGAATATGATATCTATGTATCACTTATAGAAATAGTGGGGTGATGAATGAATTGTACTATAGACCTGAGCAGACATAAGATGTGAAAAAGCTTTTATGTAACTAAGAACAGTGCAAAACCATCCATTGACTGACTGTCCAAGTGATAAGATAACAGTGACACAAGACAGAGCACCAGAGGAGAGTGGGGAAGAACTCCTTCACTCCTCTTATCAGAAAAGTGTGAAACAACAGGGATGAAATCTCAGGAAGGAATACAATTTATTGACTTGATCTCAGGATGTCATACAGATAAGTCAGGATGGGAAAGCTAAACACGAAGAGCCCTGCAGTATCAAAAGCTCTCAGGAATATTTAAATAATGTACAAGTTAATGAATATGCATGTAACCCCAACAAGTAACTGTATATAGAGAGCATGATTTTAAGGTTCTTTGGCATGCTCTTTGGCCATTTGTCAAAAGCACACCAGCACTGGAAATATTGTCCTTTTTTATCCTATTATTAAACTTTTAAAAATTCTAAAGACCATCGAGTCCAACCATTCCTCCAGAGCTGCCATGCTCAGCACTACCCCGTGTCCCTGAGTGCTACACCCACATCTGTCACATGAAAAGAGATTTTCTATACTGTTAATGTGGGGAGAGTTACTTGACCCTCTGTCCTGGATTGCCAAGCAAATTGGATTCTATTTACCATCTGTATGGCAGATGTACTCAGTTCAGTGGGCAGTTTTCCTGATCTCTTCCACAACTGGGCAGACATCTGCTGATAACAGCTATTGAATGTCCCTGCATGGCTGATAAGAGCTACAGCATCCCATTGGGAGATGGGAGCCCAGAGGGAGGAGCCAAGCATTCCTACCCAGATATAATCTGGAGATTCTGGAACACCAGCACAGCTTCTGCACTGGATTGCCCAGAGGAACAGCAGCTGCCTCTTCTTC